TTTTTTTTTAATAGAAGACTAACTTTAAGGACGATGTCATTATAATGATGAAAATGGCATAATGCATTTTTTGGTGTCCCATTTATGAGGGCTAGATGCTAGATGCTTTTTGATGCTAGAAAACTTATTTACTCTTAGCCGATGGAAATTCAGAAATAAATGTTTTGTGTATTCCATATAGCTTAGTTGCTAAATGCTTCTTTCCAAAAACTCATTTCTTTCTGCTGGTTAATTTTAGTTGTTTAGGTTTTTCCAGAAAGTAGGCAGGCTGCTAGATTGCCATTCTTTTCCAACTGTTTGTTACTGACACATTTTACCTTTTGACCAGCAGTTACAGAAAAATGTTTGAAAGTTCAGAGATCACGTTGAAACATCTATTAATTTGATTGAGAGGTGAAAAAAGAAAGTAGGGACCACATCTTTTGGTATTAACTCTGAATTGTCGTCAGTTTTAGAACATTAACTTATTTTAAGTAAATTTGTGCTGTCACTTCTGCAGTTTTATTTAAAATAAATTCCTAACAAACTAATATTGATAATAATAAAATAAATAAAAGAAAAGAAGGTGTTGTGAGATAATACATGTTCTTTCAAACTTGTGCTTCTGTGTGGTTGGATATACTTGGCACTATAAATGAGAAGTTGTGTATCAAGTACATGTACTAGACTTCTCAATTTTTTCAGATTGAAAATACATAAAACATACCCAAAAAAAATCAAAACAAGACAAACATCTGTAATGCATTTGATAACCACAGTGCTGAACATGCTTTTTGAGTTTATTAGCTCAGTAAGAAATAAGTTGTTATGGTAATTTCAGTGGAGAAGTTAAAGTGTGTTATGTATTAATAACAAACAATAGATTTGTTCACTCAGTATGGGTGGGCCCAACAGAGATCATAGTCAAAGTGTGCTTTTGTGGACAGTCAAGGAGTGGTTTTAAGTAAAACTGCCATTTGTAAATAAAAAATTAATGATGATCTGCCTCAATGTCACTAGGTATTCCAAGGACCAAATCCTTTCATTTGTGACCGGCGTCTGTTTATTTTCGATAACGATAACATTATCTTGTCCTCAGTTATTGTAAAATTTGTAAGCAGTTGCAGAGTCTGTAGAAGTGTAGGGAAAAATGCATGTGCTACTGGTGGAATCCAGCAGAAGTCCATGTATGGGTGTGCAAGGGTGACATAAGGGTGTGTGGCCACAGAAGTCTTACTGCAGAATCATGGTATTAGTCACGTTAAAGACATATTTTGAGGATTACTTTAATCCTGGCTACAGGATTAAATAGTAGCTGAAATGAAATCAAACATATGGATATTACATTCCATGCATCAGATAATCGGTCTTGAGAAACAGTTCTGGTCATTTGTATTCTACTGTGTAGAATGTAGCATGTACCATGTTACGCATGGTATTGACAGTACACTCTTAATTTCTTCTTTAAGGATCCACCCACGTCAGTGTCTCTTGGACTTCGAATGGAAGAGATGATTTTCAATTTGGCAGACACGCATCTATTCTTTAATGATTTAGAAGTAAGTGTTCATTATTTTAAAACACAGAGGTTTGTTAACATTTGTCTATCTTTACTTGTTATTAAATGGCTTGGCAATTATTTTTGGCTTCAGAGGTTTAATATGGAAACATTCAGAAAAATCTGCGTAGTTTAGTCATTGAAATTTACAAAGATATCTACACTAAATGTGCTGACATTCAGAGGTTGCAGTAGAAGTTCTAGGAGCTTTTTTTTCCCTCACAGGTCTTTATATTTATGGCCACAGTCGACAAGTTCTAGAAGTGGATGCACAGAAAGCATCTATAAATACTAGAACGCAATAGGCTACGGAGATCATTAAATATTAAACTTCAGCTTCTATAAACAGTTAATGGCTGGGTAAAGATTTCTCACTTATATCTTACTGTGGGAAAGGATTACCTTAAACCCAAGGGAAATCATTAATGTTGTATATGTTGTCCATCTCAGTGGCCTATCGCTATGGGTCTTCAGTCCTTCCCAGTGGCAGGTCTGTTTGTTATGTGCTAGGGTTTCTCTGCCATGCATACCCCTCCCTTGCAGTGTGCTGTGAGGAGCTGGTGTCAACATGCCAAGGGCTTTTTCAGCCTGTATAGAGTCTGGTTTGGCAATTCTTGTGAAATTGCTCTGAAACTATCCAAACTGCTGAAAGAGACTGTCACCATAGTGCCTTACTGTTTTGTCTTAAAAGGGAAAAAGCCATTTCTGATCATATTTTAATAACAAGAAAACATGAAAACAGTCAGATTTCTTTCCCATCATAATGAAGACAGCTGTTTATTTAAAATCCAACTGTTAAGCAAGCTTGTGGTGGGGCTGCCAACACACATTAATCATCAGGTTGTTGTTTTGCTAGATTTTAGAATAGTGTGTTATTCCAGACAGGCAAAAGAATCTAAAAGATTCAAATGCAACATTTGCTGATCAAAGTTAATTGGCAGCAATTGGCCTTTAAATATTTCCTGATGTTTCCCTTTTCAAAATCAAGGAAAATACACCTTATTTAATAGATGAGCCAAAATCATTTGAAAAATGCCAGTGTGTGATAGACCTCAAATGTGGTTTGTCCAACATCTGTCCTATATTTTGATTTCTTTTCATCTAAAAAGAAACCACTCACGGATGATTTGGCATCTTTCAATGTAATGAAATTATTTAAATGTGTTTTATTCCTTCTTCCATTCCTTAGTGGAGTATTTATTTTTATACCTTTGATAAAATATATGATTTCTTTACATTTTCAAGTATTGGTTTCTTTCATTGAGGTAGCTTTATGTAAAGATGATACTGTTTTGGATACAAGAAATGTAATTAGTGAGTTACATGCATAGGATTAATTTTTCAGATTTGTTGAAAAGTATAGCAATGCTAGTTATTTTCCAAATCTGTTTCTGATTTCTAGATATATTTCAATTTATCCAGAGCAGAAAAATGAAGTACTACTATATCTTAGCAGCATTTTTAATAAAGTTCAGTGTGTTTTCATTTGCTATACATAGCCAAATGCTTAATAGTCTCAGCTTGTTATGTGTCAGTGACTTTAATGGAAGTTAACCAACTAAATATTAGGGATAGCAGATTATCTTCTGATAGTTGGCAACTTACACTCTTGACAGTACAATAGTTTATTGACTGAAGAACTTTGAAATGTGGAAAAAACAGTTGATTCAGATAACTCACGGAAGCAAGAAGCTTAGAGGATGAACTTTGTTCTTTGGACTTTCCCTGTAGCAATGTGGTTTCTCTTAAAGTTCCATACGTGAATGTTGTCCATGAATGGGGCCTTTCCTCTTGGACCTTCAGTTTGTCATTGAGTGTCACCATTATTAGCAGGGTATCTGTGGCTCCCAAGGTCTTTAGCCTTAGGTTTGGTGGTCTGGAAGTTCAGGCTCCCGATACTTTGATAGTATTCCATCAAAACTGTTTTGGCTTGGCTGTGCCCAGACTTAAAGCATCTGTTCTTGCTGTCAAAGGAATGAGTTTGGAATGTCTCTTGTTCTCCTTGCTCAGGGCTAAGGCTTCTAGTTCATGTATGTGAGAGACTGGGCTCTGATTGAGAGATCTGTAAGCAGCTATGCCAGTGAGCCACAGAAACTGAGCATTCTTGGCTGAAAAGAGTATGAAGAGAGGCAAACTGGGATCTGGAACATGCCTGACCCACAGCACAGAAACATCTTTGGGTCCAGACATAATCCAAAGCTGGAACTTGAAAGCTCATGCTTTCCTCACCTAGGCTCAGAGAGAACTGTTCCTGATATACAGAAAGGCTGGATTTTCAGGCAGGCAATCATCTATCATAACTTTGGCCTATGCTGCACATTTTTCCAGATACCACAAGTTCATCCAGTGCTTTCCAGAAAGCTCTAATCAGAACACTTCTCTTGTCATCCAAGTTGAGGGGAGTGTACTTCTTATTGAAAACTGGGGCAGGCATGATTTACATTTTAAATGCAAAGGACATAGTTGTAGTCGTGATTTCCAAAGGATCACTTGATTTGTATTACCTAGCTGACTTTTCAAATCTAAGCCTAGAGATTTCCATGATTTTATTAGGTGAAGCTCTAAATGTCAGCAGTTTTTTTAGTTTGTATAAAGTGAATCAATGCCAATGTGTACTAGTGGCATTGAAAACTTCAGTGTACCCGCTGTAATTCAGTATGGGATTCAGAGAGGTAAGTGAATCAGCTAGTTTCCTATATGTTGGTCTTTAGGTAATAACAACAGTACTAATAATGCCATTTGTTATTGGTATTTTTTAAAATTCAGTGAAAAAGTTCTTTGTGATTTCACTGTCTAGATCTAAAGTCAATTTTCTGCTTATTAGTTGTGTGAATTGTACTTGGATTTACAATTAGTGATTGCTCTCTTTGTTCTTAGATTATTTCTTCAGAAAAAGGCATGGCTCATTTGTTTCACTATATACAAATATTTTTTTTGTAATTGCTTCCAAATTGATACAGATAATTTGAAATCTTGAAGGAACATTTATAAAATCTAAAATTAAAGATATATGACAAGTATTTTAGCACGTTGAAAATAAAATATTGTTACTAATGTATAATTTGATCTAAGGACCATCAAAAGCAATGATTTACTGAATTAATAGTAATTTTGCAGTGGCATTATAGAACTGTACAAGGCCAAACATTAGTAAAATAAGTGCAGTATTTTCCAAAATTTATATTTTGAAGGCTGCATTTAGGCTCCATAATAAAAGTTCAGGTTTTCAGTATTGAAAATCATTATTTAAGCATGTAGTATTCTATTCAATAGTAGAATTTTAATTGTCCACAGGAGGGAAAAAATACATTGATGTAGAGCTCTCAAGAGAACCAAAATTATCTCATCAGGAAAGAATGTCTGATTTTACATGCTGATTATGTTGTGATAGGGATAATAAGGTATAATATTTTAATGGCATGTATGGAGCAATTACACATATTAGGTATTTTAGAATGTATGCTCAAGTGTTTTAGGGAAATTAAGAAGCTGATGATAGGACTGAAATGTGACATCTACCTGTCACATCTTTAAAGATTGTATACATTTCTGTATGTATGCTGATCCTCTTAAAAGATTAGTTTTTTCATTTCTTTGGCATATTAGGTGCACATTATAACCAGGTATGCAGAAAAATTGGTGGTTGTGACTGACTATGAATGTCCTATTTCAAAAAAAAAGTGAATTCAGTGTTCTGCAAACTTTATTCTAAAGTGATTCTATCTCATTAGATCTGTAGCTTTAGAGAGTTATAATTCTATTTATTGAATCTGGAAATGTCAATTTATTCATTCTACAAGCACTTGAAGCCTTTTTTTTTTTTTTTTTTTTTAATCTTATCTAATGCTTCCTATAAATAAGATAATTTTTTTAAGTGTTGCATTTTATTAAAATGAAGTTCAATTATTTGGAGATTTTTGTCAGGATTATTTGACTATTTTAGGCTTTTTATTACTGTTTGTTCATTTTGTGGATGAACTCAAAATACGGTTTTATAAGTTATGAAACTATTAAAAAAATATTTCAATGCCCTAAGAAATGAATTCATGTATAAGGGCACAGTAATGATGGTTAGCATCCACTTTCTTCCATCAGTGAAGGACACGTCCTGCACACTCATGGCCTCACAACTCACTTTTGTTTGTGAAGGCTCTGTATGCAAAGTGATGATATATGTATAGGTGCCATTTATGATGAGTGGCAGTATGATATGAGATTCTAAGCAATTTTAGTTGACGTATTTCTCTTACTAATAAAATAAAAGAGAATGCTGTCAGGCAATACTGTTGTTCAGTGATTATTATTTCTTTCTCTTTTTTTTTTAATATATATTTCCTACTATGACAATAAAAAGAAAGAATAAATAGGGACCTTGGGATAGGTGAAAGCTTGTCACTGCAATGGGGATGTATTTTAACTTCTTGTTTCCTGGATATCCATTATTGTCTTCCTAACAGATATTGAGAGCGTAGTCCTTTCTGTGTGACAAAAAGAGCAGTGTAATCTTTTTATGTTTACAATACAAATCTGTCACTACTTCAGATTAGGGAAAGTTTAAGTTGTGTTACTGTGCACTGACCCTCCATGCCCATGTTGGTTTTGCATGCAGTTTCCATGATGCTCTCAGAGCCAAGGCTGCTGGATCTGCAGTGCTGCCTTCCCACACCTGTGCCAGGCAGCCCCCAGCTCCTCTCTGGCTTTTTTTCTGGTGCAGTCGCATGGTTTAGGAAGTCCCCCAGGCTCTCCTACCTCATCAGTCCCTGTTAGGCTTTAATAACGTTCAGTTGATAAGTTGATACAGGAACATTTTACAAATCCTACATTTTACGTATGAGGTAACGTAGCCAGCTCTCCTGAAACACTGAGACTTTTAATTGCATAGATGCTTTTCACAGTTTGAAGCAAAAAATAACTATACATTCTGTGATGACACTAAACCCTGAAGAATTGCTGAAGAGAGAGCTCAAGCCTAAGAAAGAGAACAGGTAAAATCTCTCGCAG